ATACATAACCCATCTTAATTCTTTTCTATCTCCTTCCCTTCCCCTCCCTCCTCCCTCCTTCTACTCTTTGTCCCCTTCCCTTTCACAAAAGATCTCTCCATTACACCTTATAATGTTATTACAGAATAACATACAGTAAGCAAAATTTATAGTGATTGTAAAACAAAAACTGAAAAACTGCTTTAAAACAAAAGCAGGTTGCTTTATAACCTTTTACACCCTAACAAAAATACTGTAAAATCTTTTCACATCAAATATTTATACATATTGATTCGTAATATGTAATTTAATCCATTCCTTCTTATCAAACATTTGGGTTACTTCCAGGTCATTATTTTAACCAGGGATTCTTAAACTTTTTGGACTTAGGGTCCCTTTATGCTCTTTGAGGACCCCAAAGCTTTTACTCATGTGGATTATACCTACTGGTACTTACTATATTAAAATTTAAAATTGAGAAACTTTTAAAATTCTTATTTCATAATTCACTTAAAAGTGACAATAATCAACCCACAAGATGTTTACATATTATAAAAATAGGAGTTGGGCTAGGGATGTAGCTCAGCGGCACAGTGCCTGCCTGGGAAGCACAAGGACCTGAGTTTGATTCCCAGTACCTACCCCCCTAAAAAAAAGTTACAAGAAAAACAAATCTAGTGAGAAAAGTAGCATTGCTTTACAACTACATATCTATTGTTCTGACTTAAAAGACTGCATCTGAATTTTCATAGCAAATTAAACACAAAAGCAGATATATCTTGTTTTTGCTTTAGGTGATAAGGAAAAGGTAGCCTCATACAGATGATGAAGTTAGCAATGATAGCTGTATTTTAATAAACCTTTTAGATACTTGGAGATATCCTTCTTAATAGTAAACCAAACATCAGTAAATGATTTCTTAGAAGCTAGTTGTAATGCAGAATCCGAAATTACTATCAACAAATTTTGTATACTATTACATTAAAATCTATCAGAATATTTTATACTTTATATTTTTGTCTGAATATAATTAGTAATATTATGGTCATTTAGAATATGCTAATTGTATATTAGCATAAATTGCTAAATTGCAGATTTTTCAAATTCCCAATACACAATATTAGACACTCATGCTCTTTAATAGCACCAGCAATCTAGTCACAAACATCTTAAAGCATAAATGTCCCCAAGCCTTTAAGCTGGCAAACTCATACACGCAGATGCAAGTGTTACAAGTCTAATCTTTACTTCAAAGATACAGTTTTATCATTGGCAACAAAGACTGCCAAGTTTTTTTTTCTTGTAGTAACAGGCTCACTTTGTTCTTTTATAAATTTTTTGTCATTCTTTTGAACAAAGAAGGTGACAGTTTAGCAGGCAACTCAATACACCAATACTTTTTTTTTCCACAGCTACAGTATTAATTGTAGCAGAAATGCTTTATGCATGCTTTCCATGGCATCAAGCAGAATATTAAAAGGGCTATGAACTAAAAAAATCAAGATTTAATAAAATTAATATTTTTCTTGCTTCATGAAGGACATTCTTAAGTGAAACCACATGCTTGTGGCCATTAATAACACAGTGCGTTCACCTTGATTTATACTAAGATACAGCACTTTTACCCTCTATTCCTTTGTACCATGAATGTTACCGTATTATTAGGAAAACAATTTTGATTTCATGGATCCCTTGGAGGCCCATGGATAGCACAGTAAGACTTAGTATTCTTAATAATATTAAAAGTACATTCATATAACTAAATCTTTACATATACTCTTTTTTTGTTTGTTTTGTTGAGACAGGGTATCACAATGTAGTCTAGTACAGCTCTGAACTCACTACTTAGCCCAGGATGGCCTCAAACTTGTTATCCTCCCACCTCTGCCTCTCCAGTGCTAGGGTTACAGGTCTATGCCACCATGCTAGCTCTTTATGTGCATTCCTATTCTGTACAGATTAATTCTTGGAAGTGGAATTACTAGGTAACTTACACACACACACACACACACACATATATCAAAAGCTTAAAAAGGATATAAATGTATCCATAATTCTATATGCATAATTGTATATATGTATTTATATATAATTATATGTGTAAACACATATATGTAATTTTTAAGCCTCTGATACTGCCGAACTGTTTTCTGAATTGGTTGACATACTTTACATCCCAAAAGCAGTGTATGAGGCTATACATTTCCCCTACCTTTGCTAAGAAAAGATGTTTGTAGTGGGACAGGGTGGCACACACCTGTAATCCCAGCCCTTGAGAGGCTAAAACAGGAGGATCACCTTGAGTTCAAGGCTGGCCTGGGCTACATAGAATGTCCAAGACCAGCCTGAACTACATAGCAAGACCCTATCTCAAAAAACAAGCAAGCAAGCAAGCAAGCAAAAAAGAACAGACGTTCACATCTTTGCCAATTTGAAAGTTAAAATGGTAACTCTTTTGGACCATCCTTACTGCTACCATGTCCAGGTTATCCTACAATTAGCCAGGTGATACTGCACATGGGTCTTCTTTGTGGCCTCCATTTCATCGCATTAAAATAGAGATACTATATACAGTACTGTATTTCATCCACTAGGATGATGTAAGAACTAGAACATCAGATAAAGACAAAGTAAAAAGCACCAGTACTGTAATTCAAAGAGAAACAGATCAAATGTCAGTGACACTCAAAGGAAGTATATGAATGCTTTTGTTTCAGTAGAATTTGGTTTTACTTTTAACAGCAAACTTTTCACTCTAAAGAAAAATGCATCTAAGCAGATTTCCCTCCTTTAAAAAAAAAGTTGTATTAGCTAAGTTATATGATTTTTTATTTTAAAGAGAAAAATAACAATAAAATAGAATTTCAAAACAGGTTAATAGGAGTTACAATAATTAATACATTTGCATATTGGTGTCTTTGTAGTAGTTATTCAGAGTATAAGATACAGGATGATATCTTGTCCAAACTATATCAGCACAAACCTTTCTTTTCAAGGAACTAAGAGAAACTAGCTGTATAACTATCTTAACTATCTTACGTATAAATACATTTTTTTTTCTTTTTCCCCTTCTTCCTTTCCCTTTCCCACCATTACAGTTTGTCTTTTCTTTTGAAAGTTACTTGATTTTTGGGGGGAGAAATAAGATGGAATATTCTCAATTTAAGAACACAGATGTAAAATTTATTAATAGCAGGCCCGAAGTTGGCCTTCTTCCATGCTTATTTTAATCTCTCAAGATGGGTGTTTTAATTTCTCCACATAAACACAATTCACCTAGACATGGGAAGGGGAGAGGTCACCTGAACAAACTGACTTCATATCAGTTAAATTATTTCTCTGCAATCTATTACATAAATATGCTGTTTTTTCCTATGAACAATAAGTCAAAGATAAACTATGCCTTTGCTGTAAATATGCAAAGACAGAGAGGAAACATGAAATAGAATATTTATTTCCATCCCAACCGATGGTACCCCACGGGCTCCTCGGAAGGTGGGCCACTTGGTCCCAAGGTTTGAAGAGTATTATGAAAACTCAGAATGGCCGCAGTCTAGAGCAACTGGGGAAGAGGGCCCTGAAAAGGAGGGGAATCACCCTGGGAGATGTTAGCTTTGTGGCTGCAATAGTGACCACTCTGCATCCCTCACACAGATTTCTTCCACTTAACAACTTTAACTGGCGACTTGTGACATTCTCCTGCCAGTCCCTGCAGGTCCAGTACCCTGACAGGCCATTATGAAAAGGCTCTCTAACAGGGCCACTGGCTGTCAGAAGCCACCAGCTGGCCTGCCACAGCCCTGCAGTCGCCAGAGTCCAGCTGCCAGTCTGGGCGGTGCTGTCCATGCTGAGCAACGTGCCACCCAGCTGCTGCGTGGTCACATCCATCTGGAGCTCTCTAGCTAGACAAATCTCTGTGCCTGTCAGACCTTTTCAGCAAGCCTTGTTATGCAAATTCAATTACTCAAGTGTGCCCTATTACTGCTGGCTAACTGCTCCTAGAACCGATCTCACACTGACAGGCAGTTCACATTTTTGCTCACCAAAAAATACCTCATTTATTCTTGCTTTGCTATCTCCTTGTATCATTAAATCTGAACAGCTAAAGTCCATGGTATTCTAACCTCTCTGCAGTGGGCTCCTGTTCCCCACAAAGAGCTCAAAGGAAAATTAATTACAAAAGAAAACCTTCTAATCAGACATGAAGGGGTGTGAAAGCTGCAGATTCCCTACATATGACAGAGATGGTTTTACTACACCAGAAATATGAAATTTAAATCTTAATGACTGAAAAGAAAATCTAGTATAACAAGTTATATTGGATAAAAAATGAATTATTAGGAGAAAATGCTGTAGTAGTACTTTTAATACCCGTTTTATAGGGAAAGGAAAGAGGTGACAAGAAATTTCATCAGGTGAAGTTCATGGTGATACAGTTGCTCAGTGCCTTGTCTAAACTCCCTTCACCCCCGTGCCCCCCACACGCACGCCCTGCCTCACCTCTCACCCTCCCTCCACAATCAGGAGGTTTCATTCTCCTTTAGTAACTCATTTTAACCAACCGGTGATTTGACGATTATCTGGGATATAAATATTCAAACCATTTCTAATCCATTCAAAAATCCGAGAAAAGATTTCACCAAGCAAAAGCTATAATTTAAAGATTCTCACCCAAGAAATTCATTATAAAATTAGACATTTTAATCTACTTGAGAATGTACGAGAAAAAGATGAGTGTG